AAAAAAAAAAAACAAACAAACAAAAAAAAAAGATTCAAAGTGTACAATAGATATTGTGAAATGGAAAGAAACTGTTCAAAAAAGAAAGTGAAAGTGGGAAGGGGAAAGGAGAAAAGAAGGAAGACAAAAGTAAAAATATATATGATAGTAAAGATAATTATACCACTAACCTCTCTTAGTTGATTGGAAAGGTTTGTGCCTATATTGTTTGATCAATTTTTCATTCCTATATCTTGTAATCTTAGCAACTACTTAGAAGATAACAATACACAATGTACTAGCCACTCTCTAATTATCTTACTCTCCTATTATCTTTTATTATCTTGTTTTGAAATTTTGCATCACTGTTTTTATTATCTTTTCCTCTTTAAAATAAAAGCCCAATGGCTAGACCTTCAGACTTTCTTTTTATCATATTTATTTATTTATTTGTTTGTTTTGTCTATGTTTGGTGTACATAATATTTTCAATCCTTCTGGGGATTTGTACACGTACAGAACATTCCTTAATTACTTCTTTCATTCCCTTTTCCTCACAACTCTTCATCTTTCCTCACAGATTTTGTTATATTATAAAGTTCTATAATTGTCCTTACTTACCAAGTATGGTTATTCTCCATAGAAGTAGTAAAACACATGGATATTTCTGAGGAACAAAACTGAGGAACAAAACCATTGGTACGACACATGCTACTTGAGAAGGAATATCTTAAGACATTCAAGCGTTTACTCTTTTCTGTTTTATTTTTTGAGCATGTAGGCTAGGAGGGCATGTCAATTCTATGTATATAAAAGTGTCTTTTACCACTGAACAAGTTTATTTCTGTATTTAAAATATTTAAGTCTATTTAAGAGATTTCTTGCATCTTCATAACTTTTTATTGTTTTCAATAATAGAATTATGAAATTATGCTAAATAAACAGGCAAATAAATAATTTTCTACTGATCCCTGATGAGGAGGAAAGGAAATTCATATTGTTTTTTGGTATAAATGGTAATTTTCAAATATTTTTTATGTAACATTGGGAAAAACACTGGGAAATATGGAAAGTGATGAAGGAAAAAGTATTAAATCTTAGAAAGAATGGAAGAACATGAAAAGGGTCATTTGAAAGCTCCAAACAAAAGAAAAGTGATATGGAAATGGAAAAGCTAATTATCTTGATTTGATCATAACATATTGTCTACTTGCTGAATTACTACATTGTCATCTCATAATTATGTACACTTACTAGGTACCAACTAAAAATAAAAAATAATTTAAAGGTAGGAAAATGTGATAGAATACATTGGAATGTTAATTAACAATTAAATTATTTTTCTGGAAAAATCAGTTATTTAAATTAGAGAAGCTGATATCAAAGAAATGCAAATTATAAGAAATACAAAGAAGGAGCCAATTCTACTGCCAAAGTCTGACCAAAGAGTCATAATTCTTGGCTCCAAGAAGTTGAGCCCTGAAATCCTGGTCACTTGTTCACTCTTAGTACAATTGGCACTTTTCTACTTTTACTCACAAACAGCCTTTTCAGAGCACTCTTAATGTCCTTATTTCTCAGACTGTAGATGAATGGGTTCAGCATGGGTGTGACCACTGTGTACATCACTGAAGCTGTTGCAGTTGACTGTGAGTTGTGTGTTATGGCAGAACAAAGATACACACCTATGCAAGTACAATAGAATAAAGAGACCACTGAGAGGTGAGATGCACAAGTAGAAAATGCTTTATGCCTCCCCTGAGCTGAAGAGACTGCACGAATGGAGGAAACAATCTTAGAGTAAGAATAAAGGATGCCAGTAAGGGGACCAACGGCCAATAAGACAGCTGCAAAATATATCACCACATCATTAAGAAAGGTGTCAGAACAGGCAAGATGGACCACTTGATTAAGCTCACAGATAAAGTGTGGGATTTCCAAGTCTGTACAAAAGGACAGCCGTAGCACCATTAAGCTCTGTAGCAAGGCATGCAGAGTACTGATGATACTGGACACCAGAACCATCAGCACACAAAGCTGAGGGCTCATAATGACTGTGTAGTGCAAGGGGTGATAAATGGCCACGAAGCGGTCATAGGCCATCACAGCCAGGAGGAAGTCATCTAACCCTGCAAATAGCAATAAAAACCACATCTGGGTGATGCAGCCTGTGTAGCTAATAGCTTTGCTCTGCATTTGGAGGTTCACCAGCATCTTTGGGATGCTTGTGGAGGTGAAACAAATATCTACAATGGACAAGATAGAGAGGAAGAAGTACATGGGTGTGTGCAGGTGGGAGTCTGAGATGATGGCCAGGATGATGAGCAGGTTCCCAAGCACGGTGATCAGGTACATGGAGAGGAAAAGTCCAAATATGAGAAGCTGCAGTTCTGTTGCCTCTGAAAATCCCAGAAGAAAAAATTCTGAAATTGGCGTGTTATTTCTTGGTTCCATGTGGTGAACATGACTACCAAAAAGGAGAAAAATAACATTACTAACATTTACATAGACAGATACCATTAATACTGTTAAAATGTCACAATTTATATTTTTTAAGCAGAAATTTGCCTGTGTATTTTGTGTTGGACATGATCTTCTTTCCTGGATTCCTATATTCTATCTAATTATTCATATCTATCCTCGGCCTTTTCCCCATGAGTTCATTATCCTGAAGTGCTATGATTGTATTTTACATGCAATCAAGGAATATATACTTGGTGCCAACCACATCTCAGGCACTGTAGAA